AGCCTTCTCTCAGCTGGGACCCAACCCAGCATGTGCTGGGAGGCAGAGAGCCAGCACCCAACCTGAGCTTGCACCATGAAGTCAGGCACTAGGTACCCCACAGAAATGCAAGAGCTTGCCAGTGATCTGTTAGAGATGCATCTTGGAGCTAAGTCTGGGTGGTTTATGCCAACTATGTCTGAGGGATGTTGGAGAGAGGAGAGCCACTGGATTTTCCCTTCATGATCTCAGGCTGTGCAAAATTGCTGTAAGAGCCTGTCATTTTAAATGGCATCTCTTTGAGGAATTTTTTTAAGTCACCTACATTAGTTATCCCAATGCAGCACTTGCCTGTTAAGGTTATTGTAGCTATAGAGACTAGAACCACTTGTTCTTGTGGAATGTCACTGTAGTTGGAAAATAACATTTCCCATCAGGAAATGTACATCATGGCTGTTTGCAGACATTAAAAAAAAAAACAAAAACCCAAACAAAACAAAATACACTTTACCAGAAGAAGCAATGCATTCCTTTGACCTGGCTCCTCAGCGTCTGTATAGATCGGGCACTTCAGGGTTTTTTTTTAGCCCTTTTATCTAATAGCTGATTCAATCAGCTATTAGATAAAAGTGCCAAAACCCCCCACTAAAACACCCAATCTATACAGACATTGGACGAGCCGGGCCCAGCTAATGATTCCAACAATTGCATATCCTGCCATGCCATGCCTGAGCTCCCCCCTGCACCAGCAAGATGAAACTGGGGTCCCTACCAATTGTCAGTTGGGGCCAGGAACCAAACCCATCCCCAGTTCCAGCCAACAATCAACAGATTGCCAAAACCCTGGCTGGGAGGCACAGGGCCCATGGGATCGGGCTGCAACAGCCTGATCCTGGCAACCCTATGTGCCAGGGATGAGTAAAAAGCCATGTGCCACTCACCTGGTCCCTCTGTGCACTGGGAGTTTTATAACTCCCAGTGCACAGAGGGCCCGGCATTGAGCTGCCATAGCTTCATGCCAGGCTCCCTGTGCATTGGAAGATAAAAAAAAAAACATATGCCACTCGGCTGAGTAGTATGTGGGGTTTGGGCAGGTCCTGGTTGATGGGAGTCCAGCACTGGGCTGCTGCAACTCAATGCCAGGGTCCCTATGCGCCAGGAGGTGTAAAACCTGGTGCACTGTCCAGCTCAGCACCTGAGGTTTTGACAGGTGTGTGATAAGGCATGATACAAATAAGCCCCAAAGTTATTCCACTTTATATGCAAAGTAACTTTGTGGCTCATTTACTTCACTATCACACCTTAAATTGACTTGCACATGTTGCTGGGTTACTATCTAAGGTGTGTCAAAATTCCGGACCATTAGCAATAGAAAATGTTGTGCCTTTTTTTTTCTTTTTGGAATGCCTATGAATTTAAAATGTAATTCTTTGTTTTAAAATACAGTTGTCAGCTATGCATTATGATCCATTTGTAGGCTAGTCTAATGAGCATTTTAGTTATTACCTGGCTACTTCATCTGTACAAAGCATTTTGCCTTATAGCTCATGCATTTTAGAAGTGGATTCCTGGTTTCTGCATCCATCCAGGCAGCTGTCATCCTTCAATTATTTTCTGTATCCTCAGCATGCTGCTTGCTTTGTTTTGAGATGTTTTAAATTTTTTATTTGAGAAAACCCCAGAATCTTCTCCATAGGTAGTCAAGCAGTCTTTCCATTTTCTATGTCTTGTTTCATGTGCTCATTAACCTGTTTGACTGAATATATCCCATAACTATTTTATCCAGTATGCTTTGCTGTGACACCTTATTAAGCATTCTTTGGAAACTGTACTTACAAACTGATTGCTTCATTTCATTTGTCAGCTGTTAAAGGGAACTTGCAACAGTTTTATCAGGACCCACCTGCTCTGAAATAGAATAGAACTACTTTTCAATGAACTCCATCTATAAATTTCATGTTTTCATTTCTGATATAGTCAGAAACTTACTGTTGTTTGGAACAAGGCTACATGTTGTGTGCCACGAGTGTGGTAGGGAACCAGGCCTCAGATTTCTCTTCTCTTTATGTTGCCTACAGGAAGAAGAAGGTGAGGATGCAGATCTCTCTTCTGGTCCTTCAGTTATTAGCCACAAGCTGCCTTCTGCCCAGACCATGCATCACTTCACACCTCGTTACTCTGAGATGAGCTGTGCTGGGATGCAGATGAGAGATGCCCATGAGGAGAACCCAGAAAGCATTCTTGATGAACATGTACAGCGCGTCATGAAAACCCCAGGCTGTCAGTCCCCAGGGCCTGGTCGCCATTCCCCCAAGCCTCGATCCCCAGAGAGCAGTCATGCTGGCAAGATGCCTGGCATGCCAGGGACAATACCTCCAGGGCATGGCAAGCACACCACAAAATCAGGAATGAAACTCGATGCAGCTAACTTGTACCACCATAAGCATGTCTACCACCACATCCATCACCACAGTATGATGAAACCAAAAGAGCAGATCGAGGCTGAGGCTACCCAGAGAGTACAGAACAGCTTTGCTTGGAATGTAGATTCACATAACTATGCAACAAAATCACGAAACTACAATGAAAGCATGGTCATGGCACCCAACCCCATGGAATCACTAGGCTACAGGTGAGCAGGCACAGCACCTGTGAAAGTCCTGAGCTGTTTCTTTGTAACAATTTTATTTGCATTGTGCAAGTCACTGTATAAATGAAGTGTGGCCCTGTTTCTAAGATAGGTGTATAACATTCTGGCATCCCTATGGGCTGCTGCTTACCGTAGGAGCCCATACTAGGACAGAGTTTGAATTCCTCTCATCTATTTGGCAGATCCTTTCCCTTCAGAAGTAGCTTTTTGCAGTTGTGCATGCCTTTACCATCTCTATGATATATCCATGGAAAGGCTTCCTCTGAAATTGGTCTGCACCTTCAGCAGTTATGATATGTGGTAGGTCTCCTGCTCTTCATTGTGCTGTAAGTGTATAAAAGCTGTAGATGGGACTTCTTTCTGCATGCTGTATCACTGCCACTAAACTGAAGGTTGAATTTTTCAGGGTCTTATTACCATTTTTCTGGGTTTAATGAGAGCATGTAAACACCATTTTTAGTGCAGGACCCAAGGTTTACCTTGCTCCACACACTGAAATAGCTAATATTAGCTGGACTGACTTGCCCACCCTCCAACAACCAAGGTTCAGTCTTGATTGGGCCTCAGATGGAAACCACTTCCTGAAGAAGATCATTGCTGTGTTTCTGGAGCTGCGTTCAAATCCTTCCTTTTCTGTTTTCTCCCCCCACCCATCTGTGTGCTTATCTGACAGAGAAGAAGCAGCAGCGAATGTTTGGTTCTGCTCTTTTGCACCAGGTTTCATTCGTTTATTTATTAAATTATGTCTTGGATATGCCATCCAGATCTCTCTTTGTCCATGGCTGGTGGTTGCTTAGTTACATCTTTAATAACAACTGTCAGTGATACTTTTTTGTGTGTGACTTAAGGGAGGCATGACTGTAAGGGATATTCTAAGAATTCTGAATTAAGCTCCAGGTTACTAGAGACTTTGGGGCAGGTCAAGCCACCTGAGTGGGACTGGGGGGGGTCGGACTTTCCCCACCATGGAATGGGAAAGAAGAGCAGCCTAAGCTCTTTTGTGAAGAGAAGAAGAAGCAGAGAGGCTGGAATGGCTATATGTTTCCCAAAAGGAATGAGAAAAGAGGAATGGAGCTGCCCTTTAAAAGGGAAAGAAGGAGAGATCCTAAAGTCAGAAGGTTCACACAGGGCATCCAGGTGAAAACAGAAGAATCCAGCAAGGATGACTAGGTTTCCCAGACTCTAGTCTTTAAATGAGACTATTACAGAAGGCCTGCAGTGTCCTCAAAGCATGAGTTGAGAGCTTGTGGAGATGAGCAAGCCCCCTGACTATTTTGCAGCCATTTGTCTAGTTTGAGGCACGAGGTACTGGCCACAGTGGGCACATCTACCTGAGACATTTACTGCAGTTGCCTAATTAGCTCTGTAATCAGTGCCTTGGCATCTATATATGTGGCCCTGTTAGGCCACAGGAAACAAATATATTTATAAGTACTAACCTGCTGCAGAATTTAAGTACTATCCTGTAATTCTGTAAATACAAGTACTGTCCTGCTGCATAGTTTTTTTCATGCACAACAAGTGTAGACTATTACCAGCTGGCTGGGGCACAAGGGTGCTTCAGTGCGGGAGCTGCCTGCCAGCTAGCCCCACACTAGAGCAACCTTCTGTCCCAGCCAGCCCCTCTGCAGCATGTTGAGCCAGGTCGAAGCAGCCCTGGGCTGGCAGGCTGACCCCTCAGGCCCCCTGCCAGCTGAGGCTGCTTTGACGTGGCTCAACATGCTACTGTCCCAGGCACACATGTAAATGTGGAGCCTGGGAGCAATAAATTCTGGTGTGGTATGCACTGGAGTTTATTGCTGTGCATTAATATGCACGTGTAGGTGCATCCAGTATGAGGTAAAACATTGAGCATGAGAGCCTGGCACACAACGGCTCGGACTGTGCGCTCAACCTGTTTTTGGGTGGCAAACGGAAGGAACAGTGTGGCCTGATCTGAAATGGCAAACCTTGTCTTATGATGTTCTAACAGCAGACAGGGTGAATGATTGAAGAATGAGCTAGGTTTGGAGTTTAGCCCAGGTCCTCACTCCTTTGCCAAACATCTAAGAGTTTGTCAGCGCATGCATCATACTGCTGTGCTCTCTTCGCCAAGGGAGAAGTTCCCTGGCAGTGTCCAGTGTAAGATGTATGAGAAGCATGGCACACTTGGCCTTAGCAGGTTTCAGCACAAATAATATGAAACAAAGCCTTCTCTTTGATCTAAACTACTGTGATTGTGTCACAGTAGAAGTTTAACTGTGTCAGCAGGACATTCCCACGCTGTGCTTTGTGAGCCTCTGAAAAGCAGTTCAAAGGCAGGGCTTTAATCCAGGCTGTGGAGTTGCAATCTGAATATATCTAGATAGTACAAGTGTTCATAATTGGATATTTCTCTGCTGTTAGTATACAGACAAGTAGCTAATATCTCAAAGTCTTGTTCTTTCAGTGGGAAAGCAAGTCTACCTTCAAAAAGAAATGTCAAGAAGACTGATTCAGGGAAAAGTGATGGTGCCAGCTATGAGATGCCAGGATCTCCTGAAGATGCTGAGAGGAACCAGAAAATCCTACAGTGGATCATAGAAGGAGAGAAGGAGATCAGCAGGCATAAGAAAGCAAACCATGGGTAAGGGTTAAGTAACATCTTGCATTGTCTCTCCTATATCAGGCAAGCATCCTTTGGTGCAACTAATTGTATCATTTTTGAAGGCTGTGTGGAGATGAATCAAAATACCCAGTTGTGAGAGCTTGGCTTTTGGAGACCTGAATATTGATTGGGCATCTTCAGTGGTAATAATCCATATCTGTACTGAGGTGCAAAAAGTTATTTGCTGGCTTAGAGGTTTAGTTTTACAGTTGAGGGGCAGGCGTGGCTGGTGAACTCAGACTGGTGGGACAGGTGGAGCGGCACATGGTGGGGAGACGGGGGTTTGCAGCCAGCCAGAAGCAGGAGTGGTTTGTAGCCTCCTCGCTCCCCGCCTGAGTGCCCGGCTGGCTGGCCGACCCCCCCTCCTCTGCTCCTGGCCTACTGCAAACTGCGCCCTCCCCCTGCCCCCGCTTCTGTATGACACTCCACCGTCTCCACCAGTCTGACTTCACCAGCTGCGCCTGTTGGGAGGTTAATTATGGTTATTGCTACCATCCCTAGATGAACCTGGGTACATTGGTTCCCAACCAATGCTCATCACAGCTGGAAGCAGGAGCTCTAACAAAGTTAACTGACAGCTGCATTTAGTTCTGTGCCTCCTGTCATTCCAGGAGCTTTATCCTGTCAGGAGCTGCAGCCCTGTAAGATATTTATCCCTTTAAAATGTAGACAGAAAAGCTCCTTTCTCAAAAGGCCCTTTCTGAGTTGGCAGATCTGCTGCCTCTGTGATGTAGGTTCTAAATTGTCTCCTTGGCTTTCT